TTTGCCGACCGTATGCAAAATTTACCTGAGAAAAATAAAAGCCTAAAACCTTGCAGCCGTCCACTCGTAAAAATTATCATTTTACTTTCGGTACGCACGGCTTGCTCACTAAGTACATCGGCATATTCCTTGAAATCTGTAAATAGAGGCGTTTGTCGGGTTTCGCATGCATGAATGACCCTGAGATCAAGCAAATCTGCACGCGAGCGAACAAATTATTTCTGCACGTATTTTTCTTGGGGCTACGGACTGAACAATACTTAAACCTATACTTATAACTTATTACGTTAAAAAATTATAAGGTTTACAAGCAGTTTAAGTCGTGTTCAGTCCGTATCCCCAAGGCAAATACGCGCAGAAATAATTTGTTCGCGTGTAGATTTGCTTGATCTCGGGGTCATTCACGCATGCAAATGGCCGTTGAAAACCCGACCCTTCCGACGTCTTCAGTAATAAATTTTGACGAATATTTAATGCCTATGTGTTTAGTGAGCTAGCCCTGCCTACTGAAAGTAGAATGATAATTTTTACGGGTGGACCGCTGCAAGGTTTCAGACCTTTTTTTTTGTAAATTTTGCATACAGTCGGCCAGGAGGCGAAGATGATTGACGTCCACCAAAACTTAGGTTTTGTCTAGACACTTTTGCCCTGAAGGTCGGGTGTGATTGATAACCGCTGCAAAATTTCTAATATACATTCAAGGTCGCTTTTGACATTTCCATCTTTGAAACTATTTTTCGTAATACAGTGTAAGACCACATTTTGGAAGTTTTGAAAGACTGTACTATTGTTGGGTGTGCTCTCGGCAACCGCAGTATGTCATTTGAAATGTAATGAACACATAATGTCCAAGAAAAATCAGCTGACATGAAGTTCAACGTTTACCCTTTGCAGCTGATAAGCTGCAGTTATTATAAATTATATAAGGTAGTCAAAGGCGCTTAAATCTAAGATATTCAGTCTTGAAAAATAAATAGGACACTGGAGAAGAATTTCTTCACAATTAATAAATAGAGGTATATGATGAGAATCAAGGTACCTTTCGCATTGNTAAGTCGTGTTCAGTCCGTATCCCCAAGGCAAATACGTGCAGAAATAATTTGTTCGCGTGTAGATTTGCTTGATCTCGGGGTCATTCACGCATGCAAATGGCCGTTGAAAACCCGACCCTCCGGACGTCTTCAGTAATAAATTTTGACGAATATTTAATGCCTATGTGTTTAGTGAGCTAGCCCTGCATACTGAAAGTAGAATGATAATTTTTACGAGTGGACCGCTGCAAGGTTTCAGACCTCTTCGTTTTGTAAATTTTGCATACAGTCGGCAAGGAGGCGAAGATGATTGACGTCCACCAAACTTAGGTTTTGTCTAGACACTTATGCCCTGAAGGTCGGGTGTGATTGATAACCGCTGTAAAATTTTTAATAGACATTCAAGGTCGCTTTTGACATTTCCATCTTCGAAACTATTTTTCGTAATACAGTGTAAGACCACATTTTGGAAGTTATGAAAGACTGTACTGTTGTTGGGTGTGCTCTCGGCAACCGCAGTATGTCATTTGAAGTGTAATGGACACGTAATGCCCAAGAAAAATTAGCTGACATGAAGTTCAACGTTTAACCTTTGCAGCTGATAAGCTGCAGTTATTATAAATTACATAAGGTAGTCAAAAAGGCGCTTAAATCTAAGATATTCAGTCTTGAAAAATAAATAGGAAACTGGAGAAGAATTTCTTCACAATTAATAAATAGAGGTATATGATGAGAATCAAGGTACCTTTCGCATTGTCCTATCTGTATTTTTTAAGGGTTGTCTATATCTTTTAAGGGTCTTTGTTTAGAATTAAATTGTAAATAATCTTCACTTTATGTAGCTAAGTTATATTTTAATATGTAAATAGTGTCCCCAATTAGTTCTTTTTTTTTTAAGCTAAATACTATTGACACAAATAAAGTCATTCATTCAGTCATTCATTCATTCATTCATTCATTCATTCATTCATTCATTCATTCATTCATTCATTTTTGTCTCTATTTGGTATGAAAAACGATGCCATTAAGTTACGTTCTGTTATGAAGTCACTGAATACGAGTATAGAGAGAACAAAGTTAATAATAATCTATTGCAAAGAGCAGAAGGAAATAGAAACGTTTCCATTCGCGTTCTTGAAAATGTGTGAATGGTTCTTGTCTTTCACTTCATTTTTTTCGTCGAGTTATTCGAAATTGATGGTCCTAGTTTCTCGGAATCATTAGAGTGCCACTTATCTCTTTCTTGGAATTCCTAGCTACATCCGGTGTATACTGTCTACCTCTTTTCTTTGAATTTGAAGCTTCATCTGATTGGCTGGTAGCTTGGCGCGAAGTCGCTATGTATAAAAGATGACCAATCACGCGATTCTACCTGCCGATCAGATTTGGCTCGTTTCGAAACAACTACATAGAAAACAACACCAGAAAAATTACTCCGTCCCACATTCTAAAATGGCTGACGCTTTTGCCAAAACGCAGTCGAAGGAAACCGACCAGAGAACCCCTGACTACAACCAAGTCGTTGAAAACTCGATACGCAGTCCTCCGCTGGGGAATGTGGTCAACAGTCATCACATCGAATATGATTATCGTTTCAGAGAAGAGATCAAAATTTATGATCCACTTATCGACAGCCTGGAGCGCGCTTTATCCAAACCCATGTTCTGTTGNTTCATTTATTCATTCATTCATTTTTGTCCCTATTTGGTATGAAAAACGATGCCATTAAGTTACGTTCTGTTATGAAGTGACTGAATACAAGTATAGAGAGAACAAAGTTAATAATAATCTATTGCAAAGAGCATATGGAAATAGAAACGTTTCCATTCGCGTTCGTGAAAATGTGTGAATGGTTCTTGTCTTTCACTTCATTTTTTTCGTCGAGTTATTCGAAATCGATGGTCCTAGTTTCTCGGAATCATTAGAGTGCCACTTATCTCTTTCTTGGAATTCGTAGCTACATCCGGTGTATATTGTCTACCTCTTTTCTTTGAATTTAAAGCTTCATCTGATTGGCTGGTAGCTTGGCGTGACGTCGCTATGTATAAGAGATGACCAATCACGCGATTCTACCTGCCGATCAGATTTGGCTCGTTTCGAAACAACTACATAGGAAACAACATCAGAGAAATTACTGCGTCCCACATTCTAAAATGGCTGAAGCTTTTGCCAAAAAGCAGTCGAAGGAAACCGACCAGAGAGCCCCTGACTACAACCAAGCCGTTGAAAACTCGATACGCAGTCCTCCGCTGGGGTATGTGGTCAACAGTCATCACATAAAATATGATTATCGTTTCAGAGAAGAGATCAAAATTTATGATCCACTTATCGACAGCCTGGAGCGCGCTTTATCCAAACCCATGTTCTGTTGTGGCGGAAGTTTACGGCCATCAGACATGGACAGCTGCGTTATACAAGTAAAGCCAACAAGTTCTGAAGCAGGTCAGGATAATTGGAGAGAATTTGCATTGTCTGATCTTCCCTTGGACGAGCTCCTGGAATACTGCAATCCCGCACCGTTTGGAGACATAAAAGAAATGAAAACAGTGCTTGATCCCGAAGTTCGTCTGGCCTATGAAATCGAATCAGCAAGGTTCAAAGTACATGGATCTCCTGGAATGATGCACATCAGAGCACACATCCAGGATAAACTCACACCCGGCAGATGTGTAAATCTGGATCCTTACAAGGTCAATGTTTACGGTGAAAGAGGATTTTTCAAGCCGCACGTAGATAATCCATCTGATCCCAAAATGATAGGAACTCTGGTCATTTGTCTTCCTTCTCCACACAAAGGCGGTGAATTGCTCGTTAACCATGATGGTTTGCAACATGTCTTCGACTTTTCAAAGCACTCTGGAGATACAAGCAGAATTCAGTGGGCTGCATTTTACAGCGACTGCATTCATGAAGTTAAACCTATTCTCGAGGGCCACAGAGTTACAACCACCTACAACATCATCGCTTCAGAATGGCCACCAAGCTATCATGAGTATACGAGTCGTTATACTGAGCCTGAAGATGCTGTTTCTCTCCAGGAGCATTTTGAATGCAGCTCGGAAAGTCCCTCCTTAACAACAAAAGCCCTTGCAAATGTGAAAATTGAGCTTGAAAAGATTCAAAGCAAGGCCAAAAGATCACCATCTAAGGTTGGATTTCTTTTGAAACACAAGTACACCACAAAGGGTCTCCAACCACATTTGCTTAAAGGAGAAGATAAAGGATTGCACGACTACTTGGTAGATAAGGAGTGCAAGTGCGAGCTAATGAGTGTACTGACGAGGTATCAGACTGATGTGGTCCGTCCCTACGGTCCTGAAGATGACGGTGAACTCGACGAAAGTCACGAAGTCTACGAATTCAAGCCTTTAAAATCTACCAAACCTACTGCGTCGGTGTACGGTTCTCTTGACAGAAGATGGCTGGCGCGAGCAAATTATCGTCAGTGGCGTGTTGGTATCCCCTTCGTTGAAATTTACAGGAAGGCGGAGAATTCATCACAAATTGTTCGTAATAACAAAGGAGACGACTGGTGGATCGGAAACCAAGTGGAAGATGTTGGAGTAGACAAGATCTATTTAGATTCTGCATTCATCGTGGAACTTTGACTTTCACTGGCGCATCAGCACAAAGTATATTAGGTTTAGAAATATTTTGATCCACCGACCTAGTGTATCAACCGACAAGTGAGAACATGAACCACTCTAACGTGAAAAACGACACGTCTGCTTATGAACAATGTTGCCCTGAAAATAACTTTTCACGCTTGTTATCATTTGCCAGAGCGCAGGATGTATTTAAGTTACGTAATGGCCGACTAGTTCTCGAGTAGTAAGCGAGACTCCTACGCATTTGTTTAATTGTAAGCGAGGAGGCAAGATATTGTTCACAAAATAAATGCAAGCATTCGCCAAGACTGCTGTCGTTTTGTACTGGAGTAAAAGTGATCAGTAATGTCTGGAGCATTTTGCAGAACGATGTGACACTGTTGTTTAGAAAAGTATATAAACAATTAAAACAAAAAGAATAATTGTTGTCTTCTCCAAGACCCTTGTAACAATCTGCCATATTTTGATAAAGCGGCTAATTAAATATTGTTTAAGTTTGTCTTCACCAGCACTTTGCACAATAATCATTTTGGACGGAACAGGATTTCACAATGTCCCGTTACCATTTATTCATAATTCTAGTTTGAATAACGGAAAATGATGCAAAGGCCCGGGTCGCACTCAAGACACATTTCTGAGATGTTGCAAGATGTTTCCTGCAATGTTTATCTCAGAAGTTGTCCGAGACAATTAAAACGTTGTATTTTCTGGTCGCACTTGATGACAAAATTGTCTTTGACATCAAACAACCCTTATCAGTCCTTGTCAGTATTGTCACTGTACTCCGCGCGGGTTTTTTGGAATATGTTTCCCTCTTTTTTATGCAAAGTGAATTACAGAACAGGTTACCATGAATGATCGTGAAATTGCTTTGTTTCTGGCTTTCTATTTATATCTTCTTAAATTAACATGGCTACAGGTAATAATCCACAGAGTCATTCTTCTTTACCGCATCACGCAAATACGAGCACTTCAAGCGCAAATTTTGATGCGAAAATTGCTAAAATAGCATTGCGCTGATGCCGATCCCAGAACAACTCAGTTCGGCCTGTACCTCTCCTGCTCAATGTAAGAATTATCTGAGAAGTTGATCGAAAACCTGAATTCATGACTAATAAACACGCGTGACACAGAGTACAAGTCGCACTGAAGAATGAGAAGCGATGTCATTTTTAGGGATTTTTTAAATTGAACGACAGCTGAATCACAAGAAAAAACATTTGATGTTTGTTTTTCGTGAAACGTCCTTGCTACGAGGAAGGACGACGGCCTCTTTGAAGATTTGTCTCCGTGGACAAGTTTTTGTCCGCGCAGGGACAAGTAGGTCGCACTTGATGCGGTCAACTGATGACAGGAATCTGACGGTGTTTTTTGGTTATCAAAACAAACTTGGCCTATCCCGAAATCAAGATCTCTCTTTTGTGGTTTCCGAGAAGCTGTTTACGGATTCCGAGAAATCAATCTGAAAACAAAGAAAGGGCCAATGAAGCGAAAACTACTTAACATTGCGACAGATCGATTAAGTTGACCCTCAGGGGAGGGGGTGGGGGTGGGGTGGATGCCACCCCTACCTTTATAAGGTTTTCCAAAGTTTTGAAAAGACGATTTACTCTAAGGGGCTGAAACTTCCAGTAGCTGTTCCTTCATTCTCTGTGGAAATTTTGTTATGTCAAGTGGGTGTCCCTCATTTTTTGACGTTGCCATGGCAACCATCAAATTCCATGTAGGGCTCACTAAATATCAGCTCTTTTGAGATAATTCTTTAGGTTTTTCCAGTTTTCTTCATCAAATAACAGAAATTCATGAATTTGTACATTTCATAAGTATTCTTAAAAATGCTTTATTTTGAGTTAATTTCCTTTATTTGTTGACATTTTTTTAAAGAAATAGTAAAATCCAAGATGGCGGATCCAAGATGGCGGATCTAAGATGGCCTATTAAATGACGTCATTTGAGGTCGTATGACGTCATTACCAACAAAAATGGTATCATCTTGTAGACTAAGCTTAAGGTTGTCTAATCAATGTAAATTTGTTTCGCTCTGCCTTAACAGAACGAAAACCAAGAGGGGGGTTCCCATCCACCACCCCCGCCCCCCTTGTACCATAGTGGGGTTATGAGTGAGCTTGTACGTCCGAGGGTTAGTCATCGTTGTCATCTTTTACTATTCCATCCTCAGTTAAATCAAAACGTCTTAAACGAAGCGGCTCTTCTTCAACCGTACCTTTATTGCCTATGTCAGAGCCGCCCTTTCCGAAAGAAGAAATCGTAGAGAGCGACAGTCATGCCAATTTTTAATTTCGGGGAGTGCTTTAACACAAGCTTACTTTAACCGTTTATAACTTTTTTCATATCATATATGTCATATCATTGGAACTTGATGTTTTATGAGAAAAATATCAAACAAAACACGGTCTAAATAGAGTTAAAGGCCGTTTAAAAATTAATCCCTGTTTTGTTACCTAGGCAATCAATCGCCCTTTAAAGTAATTCTGTTAAGATATCGGGAACTACAATGGTTGTCAATAGGTGCCGATACAACAGAACATAGGTTTGGTATCTCTATCGACCATCTTACTATTATAATTTTGTAAAGATACATTGCTGGAAATTATTGAAGTACGTAACACCAGATGTAGCGAATGGCGTTAGTGAAGCTGAATGACTTCAGAGAGCGCTCGCCTATTCTCTAGTTTAGTTGCATAGACTATCCATTAAAGATTTCATTATCCATTTTTAATTGGAAGTAAGAGCTCATGTAGAATATTCGCAAAATGATAATTAAGGTCTGGTACAAACAGCCTCGTTCTCCGTACGGTTTGACACACCGTTAAATCTGGTTTTGGTCAGAATACGGGCCGAAAACTTTCTTACATGTGTGACAGTGTGAAACGGTTTGCTGATCCGTTTTGGACCGTTGAAATAACTATCTTGTTTACAGTCTGTCAGACCACATAGATTTTTCTTTTTCTTTTTTTCTTTTTCTTTTCCAGCGTAGTATATTTTTGCCTCTATGGGAAACGAATGTTTATCGATCCTTTCGAAAAATAATTCACTTGGGAAGACTTGAAAAGCAGCTGATTGCACTCGTCCAATGGTTCGCTTGCAGAGGTTGCGTGACTCTTTCTTTCAAGTTCCCGCTCGCGTGACGTTTATTTTTCCCGATTGCGGCTCAGGTATTTCGGTCAGCAGTACAATTAGAGATGGCGGCAGTTAGCGGAAGCCCACCAGGATATCAAGAACTTTTTACAAACATATCTTTCAAGTTTAACCCAACAGAATCAGAAGATGTTGTGCAATCACTGAAAAGGAATTATGGAGGCAAATTTAATTCGCTCGATAATCAAGACTTGTTGTCAAGTTTGCAACTTTTATCGAAGCATGGATTTCTGTCTGACAACAAACTCACCCTGATCGAAGAGTATGTAGCGCCGAAATCGAAACAGAAAGAACAGATCAAGCAAATGATCAAAAGCTTTAAGGACTCTCTGGAGGAACACGTTGATCCAGAGAAGGAATTGCCAGGGCGACAAAAGGAGCTTGGGGAAATTACGAAAAAACTCGAAACTACAGAACGGTCGCTGGTTGTGAACTTGTTTGGATCGGCTGGAGTGGGAAAGACAACACTAGCAAAGAGAGTTTGTTCTAAATGGCAAGGAAAGAACTTTGTTTTTGATCTAAGAGAGGCTAAAGATATGAGGGCGATTTATCTGAACTTGTTGAGTTCCCTTGGACTTACTGTTGCAATGGGCTACGTTGACCTGAATTCTGTTGTTACAGTAATTAACGAGAAGATTCAAGTGTTAAATCAGCCAATTCTCTTCTTACTCGATAATGTTGATCAGTTTACTGCTGGACAAGGGAAGGAAGGCAAGAACTTGAAAAGAGCTTTTTTGCAATTTTTAGGACGTCTTTCAGGATTTGACGGGAAAGAGAAAGAAACATCGTTAAAAGTGCTCCTGACATCCAGGAATCCATTGGAAGATGCCAAGAGCGTGGACAATTTTGAGGTGAAGTCTCTTGAAAGTTCCTCTTCAGAGGAAATCCTGGTTTCCAAAGGAATGGTTAATGTAAACACCCAACAGATGGATGAGCTAATTGGCATCTCCGATGGAAAACCACTTCTTTTGAAAGGCTTAGCTGCCATTTTGCGACAAGAACGAAAATCTCCGGACGATCTTATTGCTAAAGTTCGGGAATCAAAAGTGGAAGAAGACGCTAAAGAAAAGCCATTTAATTTTGAAGAAGAAGGACTTGATGAGGTCCAGTTCTCAACAATAAGAGAAATGTTCAATTCACTTCCCACTGATAGCTTAAAAGTGTCTGTTGTATCAATTTCATTGTTCTGTGGCCCTTTCTCTGTTTCCACAGCTGCTGAGATCCTCGGCATCAGCCCAGAAAATCAGGCAGAGGCTCTAGCTCGGCTGGAGGGGCTGGTAACTAGTTCAATCATTTCTGTGGTTAATGAAGAAGCCAAGGAGAGATTGTATGACATTCACCCACTTTTAAGAAAATATGCAGACAGTATCAAGGATGATGAAAAATTCCGCATGGCTTACTTGGAAGCTAAGGGACGTTTCCATCAGTACTTTATGGCAAAGATGGAAAAGATTGCAAAACTGATAGACCCTGAGTATGTTAGAGCATTCCAATGGTTTGAGAGTGACAGAGCAAACTATGAGTTTACTCTTGAGATCTCTTTGCAGCCAGAATATTTCAGTGTTCCCGGAGAGTTTCGTGAGAATGCCTTGATTGCATCTCTTTTCAATGTTATGTTGACTGAAGACAAACAGATCAAGCTGTTTCATTCCTGGGCCGAGGTGTGTGAAGATGATGGACGGTCAGGTAGGGTGCAGGCAAGGTACATTTGTACCTTTTTGTCTTTTATATGCAAAACCCTGTGACAAGTATACAGTTGTAATTTAATATGGTCAATCATATGATCAAGGCTGTAGCAGAAAATATACACCAGCAATACATATAGAATGGGCAAGGTGAAATTAGCAAGTATGTACACAATTGGACCATTGACGTTTTAAATAAGATTTTTTTTTCTTACTCTGACACTTTTATTTATTCTTATTGCATGCATGTAGTTTTTCATTCATCTAGGGGCAATCAGTCCCACAAACAGGATTGTCCCATATGTTTATGGTTTCTTATATATATTTCTTGTTTTTTGGGGGGGAATTAGGTTCATAATTTTTTGAAACTTTGTTTGTTGTTTCTTTAATCCTTTCTTTAGTAGCCCTAGATTCTAAGTCCATATGGTCAGAAAGTATTAATAATGTAATTAAAAGATGTGGAGCTGTTGACCCTGATACTGAATTGAGTTGTGTTGGTTAATTATTAAGTTGTAATTTGCAAGCACTCAAATCACAGCAGTTTGAGGCTGAGATCATACAGAGTTCATTCAAGGCCCACTTCTGACTTGCTGCACAGAAGTAATTGTGAAGCCATTAATTTTGATTATGATTCGGATCTCTTGTTAGGGGGAGTAAACTTGTCAGCAGTTACATGTAGTTCAGCCAGAGGGATCTCTTGCAAGAGTTTCTTTGCCAATAATGTTTGATTTGAACTTGTAGTCGTTGCCATCTCACTTTATTTATATGAACTGGAAATTTTGTTGTCATACCGACAGACTATGATAAGCTATGATAAAAAAGCTTTGGAGAATCATTATCCTGCTGCTGTTAATCCACTGCAAAATAAACAAACAAACAAATGAAAGACCCCTCCCCCCCC